TCTTTTATTTTCTTAGTCTCTATTTCATTTATTTCTTCTCTAATCTTTATTATTTTCTTTCTTCTATTGGCTTTGAGCTTTGTTTGTCCTTTTTCTAGCTCCTTTAGATGTAAGGCTAGGTTGTTTATTTGAGATTTTTCTTGTTTCCTGAGGTAGGTCTGTATTGCTCTAATTGTCCCTCTTAGAATAGCTTTTACTGCATCCCAAGATTTTGGACCACTGTGTTTTCATTTTCATTTGTCTCCATGTGTTTTTTATTTCATCTTTGATTTCTTGGTTGACCCATTCATTGACTAGGACCATGTTGTTTACCCTCCATGTATTTGTGTTCTTCCAGATTTGTGTGTGTGTGTGTGTGTGTGTATTAGATTTCTAGTTTCGTACCATTATCATCAGAAAAGATGCATGATACAATATCAATCTTTTTGAATTTTTTGAAATTTGTTTTGTGGCCCTACCTGTGGTCTGTTCTGGAGACTGTTTCATGTGCACTTGAAAAAAAAATGTGTATTATGCTGTTTTTGGATGAAATGTTCTGAATATATCTGTTAGATCCATCTGGTCCAATGTGTCATTCAAAGCCACTGTTTCCTTGTTGATTTTTCCATCTGGATGATATATCCATTGATGTAAGTGGGGTGTTAAAGTCCTTTACTATTATTGTATTACTAGATTACTCTCTTTATGTCCATTAATAGATGCTTTATGTGTCTGGGTGCTCCCATGTTGGGTGCATAAATATTTATAATTGTTATATCTTCTTGTTGGATTGTTCCCTTTATTGTTAGGTAGTATCCTTCTTTGTCTCTTGTTATAGTCTTTGTTTTAAGATCTATTTTGTTCAATATAAGTATTCTTACCCCAGCTTTCTTTTCACTTGTTTGTTTTTGTTTGTTTATTTTTGTTTTTGTTTTCACTTCTATTTGAATGATAATTGTTTTTCCATCCCTACCACTTTCAGTTTGTATGCATCTTTAGGTTAGAAGTGAGTCATGTATAGGCAGCATATAGATGGGGTTGCTTTTTTATCTATTCAGTCATGCTATGTCTTGATGTGAGCATTTAGTCTATTTACATTCAGAGTAATTACTGATAGGTATATAGTTATTGTCATTTTGTTACTTGCTTTATGGTTGTTTTTGTAGTTCTCTCTTCCTTTCTTCTCTTGCTCTCTTCCTTTTTGGTTTGTTTGCTTTCTTTAGTGATATACTTGGATTCCTTTCTTTTCTTCTTTGCATATCTCTTACAGTTTTCTATCTGTGATTATCATTAGGTTGATATATAATATCCTATGCATCTAGCAGTCTGTATTAGGATGATGGCTGCTTAAGTCTGAACCATTCTTAAAGCACTACATTTTTACTCTCTCCTCCCATATTTTATGTATATGATGTCATACTTTATGTCCTTTTATTTTGTTTAGCCCTTGACTGATTTTTATAGATATGACTTCACTGTTTTTGTGGTTTAACTATACTGGCTTTATAAGTAACTAATCTACTACTTTTATTATGTTCGCATGTACCTGTGAAATTTTTTCCTTTTATAATTTTCTTATTCTTTCCACTTGGCCATTTCTTTCCACTCAAAGAATTCCCTTTAACCTTTCTTATATGGCTGATTTAGTGGTGATGAACTCCTTTAAATTTTGTTTGTCTGAGAAACTTTTCTCTCTCCTTCTATTCTGAATGACAGCATTGTGGGATAGTGTATTTTTGGTTGCAAGCTTTTTCCTTTTAGCACTTTGAATATATCATACCACACCTCTGGCTTACAAAATTTCTGCTGAAAAATCAGCAGATAGCTTTATGGGGTTTCCCTTGTATGTAACTGTTTTCCTTTTGTTGCCTTTAAGATTCTCTCTTTGCCATTACTTGTTGCCATTGTGAATATTATGTGTCTCGGTGTGGACTTCCCTGAGTTGAAAGGACTTTCTGTGCCTCCTAGATCTGGAGGTCTATTTCCTTCCCCAGATTAGGGAGGTTTTCAGGTGTCATTTCTTCAAATAAATTTTCTGCCTCCCTTTCTCTATTTTCTTTTTCTGGGATCCCTATAATATGAATGTTACTATGCTTGATGATGTCCTTGACGTATTCTCATCTTTTATTATACTTTTATCTTTTTGTTGTTCAGTTTCTTCGCTTTCCATTATTCTGTCTTCCAGCTCACTGATTCATTATTCTGCTTTCTCTGATCTACTACTGATTCCCTCCAGCGTATTTTTAATTTCAGCAGTTTAGTTCTACATCATTGCTTGGTTCTTTTTTTATATTTTCTGTCTCTTTGTTGAAGGTCTCACTGAGATCCTCCAGTCTTTTCTCACATCCAGTTAGTATCTTTATGACTATTACTTTGAATTCTTTATGAGGCATATTGCTCATTTCCAAATCATTTTGTTGTGATTTTGTCCTGATCTTTTCTTTGGGATATATTCTTCTGTCTCATTTATCTAATTCTCTGTGTCTATGTATTTGGAATGTCAACTACATTTCCTGCTCTTAAAAGTAGTGGACTTATGAAGAAGAGATCATGTTGTGCCCCATAGTGCAATGTCCCTTGTTCACCAGAACCTGGCACTTCAGAGATGTCTCCTATGTTTGTTGCATGCACACTACCATTGTGGTTGAGCCACATTTGCCTTCAGTCCAGTCAGCTGCACAGCCATCTTTTTTGGGGGCAGGGTTTGGCATCTGTGTTATTATGGGGCCAGTCTGGGGTGACTTTGGGCTTGTAGTTGGGTCAGAACAGATGCTTGCCCTCGGGCTGTTTGCCAGAACTGTGGACACACATACCTGCATTGTCTCCTGAGTGGCTTTTTTTTTTTTTTTTTTTTGAGAATGAGACCTGCTATCAGGCCCAGTCTGTCTTTTTGGGTTGTAGTGACCACTCCCACCCCCCAATTACAGAGCTCTCTCTTTGTGCTGCCCCCTGTGAGGTTTTTGTTGGTGGGCAGGGCCAGCAGTCACATCAGATGTTTTCCCCTAGCCCACTACTGGGGCTTCAGTGGAACTGGTGTTTGTGATTATCTTCCCCTCTCACCAGAGCAAGAGTCACTTTAGAGTGGTGCTGGCCACTGTCAGGGCTGCTTGCAGAATGAAATGCATCAGGCATAGCTTTGGAAGGATTGAGGCAGGTTGAATGGAACCGTCTTCAGGAGAATGTGGGGGGTAGAGCACACAGGTGTTAGCAAGGTAAGTGCCCATCTGCTTGCAGGATGAAACCTGGGCTAAATAGCGAGTGTTTATGCTGTTTCCCCACAGATGTCTGGGTATCTAGGCTGGGGATAAATGGGGATAATTGTGCCCACCAGCTCTTTTGTTCTTCAAAAAATTTCTTAAAGATTTCTGCCCCTCTAGCTCATGTTTTGAGATTAGTAAATAAATCTCCAGGTGCTTTTCAAACTGCTGCTTGTATGCTGTATCGTGGCAGGGTTATTTTTGTGCTGTCTCTTTAAGGGTGGGGACTATTTCCTATCACCCTCTGGCCCTCCTGGAGCTGATTCCACTTGATTTTTAAAAAGTTCCCAGTGTTAAACCCCAGTGATTGTAAAAACTCACAAAGTTAAGCATCTCTGATTTTTAAAGCCAAGTGTTATTGGGGACTCATCTTCCCAATGTAGGTCCTACATGTCTGGGGTGCCTGGTGTAGGATCTGTTCCTCTCCCTCTTCTGTGCTTGTGGTGTCCCTCCAGTCTTTGTGGTTAGTCTCACAGGTTAGGTTTGTTCCCAACTGGGGCTCCGTCCTTTCCACCATTTTCTGATGTGGCCTCCTTTCTACAATTAACTGTAGAGAGTCTATTATGCCAGTCTTCAGATCATTTTCTGGCTTAGTTACACTGATGTGGCTGTTATCTAGGAGTATCTGTATGACAAGATGAGTTTAGGATCCTCCTATGCCACTATTTCACAGGGTCCCCAAGAAATCTTTTTCTTCTGACTTATTAAAACAGTTATTTTGTTCATTGTCCTTTGTATTTAAATAATGCTCATCATTCCATGATGGAAACCATTTTCTAATCTAGATTGGAAGATATTTTATCATTATTCCTTGAAGCAGGAACTGTTAATTCATAAAACCTATCTGGCTCCTGGTACAGAATAGATGCTTATTTAAATATTTATTGAATGAATTTACTCATCCAATAATCATCATTGCTAATATATCTTATTATTGTGTACAGTGTTAATTTTATTCTTATACCATCATTATCATAAAACATTAAGTGTGAATCTTACTCGAGGTTAGAATCTGAACTAAGTGATTTCTTCTTTATGAAGCATACTGCTGGCATAAATAGTAGAGGAATGTAAATCTGCTGGCTTTGATTTCACTACTTCTACTAATAGGTTTCTTTCTGCCTGAAAAGTACACAAGTATTCTGTTCCTGCTGCTTGACCATTTCCATGTGTTCAAAGAGCATTTGTCAAAACAAAACAAACAAAAATCAAAAAAACAATTAAAAACATTGACTAATGCTCCAAATATTTACATACTAGCTTTGACCCTCATAAATCCAAAATAGGTATTGAATATTTTGGTGGCAAAATTTGGTGAAAGATATGGCTCTCCTAAAAGCAAGTTATCCTATTTAATGTCTGCAAACTACAAAGCAGGTGCAGCATCAACATAATTGCTCAGAGACTAGAACTTTGTAACCATGGAGACATTACCTCACAGTGTTCTAACAGGCAGTGTTGGCCAGATATGAAGGTTATAGTCATAAAGGTAGCTGTGCTGGGTTGCTGCCCTTTCTCTTGAGCTGCTTCCAGTGAATGCCACACACCTGCACCTTGATTTGCATAATATGCTTAGCCAATACTAGTATTGGTTATGTCAGTACTTACATATTCACTTTAGAAACCTGGTTCTGGCACCAGCTTGGGAAAGAAATTATTAAATCTGGCAGATGCTTTGAGGTAGACAGTTGAGGTCATTTGAAAAGAAAATCTACCTTGAACTTCAGCTGTATTTATGACTAGTATCATGATTTGTTTCCCCAGGAAAGAAAAGAGACTTTTCTTCTAGCCAAGATGAAAGGCATGCAGGCCAGTCAGGAAACTTCAGTGGCTCTGCAGAGTGAACTCTATGAGCAGGAAGATAAAATGGAGAATCAAGCACAGTAAGAATGGCACAAATGAGAGAAGGATCTGAGATTTAGAGGATAATGATGGAGTACTTGACCTCTTGTTTCAAAACATCTTATGAAGTAGTTGTAACTAGAATTGATTCCACACTTTTTCTAAAATTAATTAACTATAACATACAACTATTTCCTCAAGCACTGTTTTATAAGGTTCAGTCCTTGAGTAATAGAAAACTTCACATGGACAGATCTCTATCATACAAGACATGGTTGAGATTCCAGAACTTATATCTAACATGTTAAGGCAGTTGGCAGACAATTTCTTTAGAACTCCTTTACTAACCTTTGGGACAAAGAATTACTAGAGAATTTTGGTTTTGGAAATACCTGTGAAGATGTTAAATAAAAACTGCAACGCCCTTCCCACCCCCAAAAAAGAAAAACAAAAATGAAAAAACCAAAAACTACAACTCCCTATTTTTACTACTACTATAAATCATTCTATCAATAAAAGCATTAGCATGGGTTTTCCAATGTTTTTTATTTTTTTTAATTTTATTTTTTTTTTAAAAGACTTTATTTATTTACTTGAGAGAGAGAGCGCACAAGCAGGGGGAGGGGCAGAGGGAGAAGCAGGCTCCCCGCTGAGCAGGGAGCCCGATGTGGGACTCGATCCCCAGACCCCGGGATCGTGACCCGAGCCGAAGGCAGACGCTCAACCGACTGAGCCACCCAGGTGCCCCTCCAATGTTTTTTAAAAAATGACCTCTAGTATTGAATATACGTAATTTAAAGCTAATGTTATTTTGCACCTACATGTCCTGTGTTTACTGATCAGTTCAAGTTCATCTTTTAAAAATTTGTTCTTAGAGGTCATCTGAGAAGTGATTGTTGTCAGAATTACCAATGTAGCATGTCCCAAAATAACATTGAATTGTGGGAATTGAACTTTTTTTTTTTTAAGATTTTATTTATTTATTTGACAGAGAGAGAGATCACAAGTAGGCAGGCAGAGGGAGAGGGAGAAGCAGGCTCCCTGCTGAGCAGGGAACCCAATGTGGGGCTCAATCCCAGGACACTGGGATCATGACTTGAGTCGAAGGCAGATGCCTAACTGACTGAGCCACCCAGGCACCCCGGAATTGAACTTTTTTAACTACCTCTGGTGTAGTGCTAATCAATTACAGAGGGAACAAAATACCAAGAAGGGGCTTGGAAAATTCCATATGATAGAGGGCAAGCTAACTAAGCACTAGGCCAAGTCTCTCATCTTCCAAAAGGACTCTAACAGGATGGTGAGTGCAGGGTTTAGACAATGGGCTACATCACATATGCCTCTTGTGAAATGTCTCAGCTCTTTCAAAGGTGTGTGCAGCCATTAGAAATTTCTTATTCAATGACAAAAATAAGAACACTTTGTGGCCCTAGGCCAGATTTCTTTAATCACAACATTTGCAGAGGCTTATTAGGAATCTTCTGTGGAATTAAATTATTTGGAAATGCTATTGTTTTACTGGGGAAGAAAAAACTTTGGAGCTTTTAAAACGAATATGCTGAAAAGATACAGCCAGTTTGTAATGAAACCCAGATGTAATGAAACCCAGGAACTTTGAAAAGAAAAGTACTTTTCCTGCTTATATTAACCAGTGTCAGACAGAAATTGTGTCATATGATCTTGTCTCAGGTTGGACAGAGATGAAATATTGTAATTTGACAATCTACCTCTTTGTATCCTTCCCACAAACCACCACATCCTACTCAAGAGTATATTTTCATGGGTTAGAGCTTTTCTGACAAAGATGGGTGCTTGGGGTGTCAGCAGAATGGCAAATGCTCAAGCTTAATATGCACTGGCCTAATATTACAATTTTCAAAGCCAAAGCCATTTATTAAAAAAAAAATTGCCTGAGATGTCTGTGCCCTCTGAGAGGTACATTTGGAGCAGTCTGGTTTTAAGTACAAAACCGTCCAGATATAATATTTCTGATGAAGGAATTTACAAATTGTAGAATAAAATTATTATGACTACCTCTTAGTAAATAAAGAGATTAAGACTGACATCACTTTGGCAGATTAGGAAACCTCAGGCCCTTTCCTATATAGAAACATTTGGAAAACAAAAACAAAACAAACAAACAAAAAACCAGACTTGCTAAAATATCTTTACAGTAACTCTGTAAAATAAAGAATCAAAATAGAGAAAATCTGTGGAGGCAAAATTCTTAGCTCTTGACTTACAAAGGATAGATAAGTGGTCCCCAGTAAGGGGGTGCATGAATGGGATATTTATCCAGTTTTTCAAAAAGCCAAAGGATTTTGGACCCCAGGACTTTGTTCACAATTCAAGTATTAAACACACACACATACATACACATACACACATACTTAGTTGCTTTGAGGTAACTAAGTCTCAGTGTGACTCATAAAATGAAGTTGTCATAAATCTTTTCATGAGCCATGCCATGGGACTGTTGTTTTACTTGTAAAATAATTGTGTTGTAGTTTAGAGGCTTTGTTTAAATGCACACTAGTTAACAAATGTTTTTATATTTTTAAAAAAGAAAGAAAAGCCTGTGTTCATAATAAGATTTAATTATAAAAATAATACCTGGAAATTAAGTCTGTTTTCTTCCTTTTCTGTATTCCCCTCAACATAATACACACACGTACACACACACGTACACACATGTACACACATATACACATGTATACTGTATTCAAATAATTAATTTTCAGAATATATTTGAAAGTAGACATTAATGCTAGAATTTTTATAAATATAGGAAAATTAGTTAAGCAGTAGGAATTAAAGGATAAAAGTTTACTAAACAATAATATTGAGCAGGAATTATATGTTATATTTTTTTTAGTTAATGCAAAGGGAGATATGATATAATAAGTAATAAAAGTGGAATATAAGTGGTTTCTAGAGTCTCAATTTTGAGTAAAAAAAATACATTGAAAGTCCTGGAATGGAGTGGAAGAGGCAAGATGGTGGAGGAGTTGGGGACCCTGTCTCAACCAGTCCCTTGAATTTAGCTGTATATCTACCAAACTACCATTCTGAACACCCAGAAAATCAACCTGAGATGTAAGAATATATATCTGGATCTCTACAAGCAGAAAATCTCTGCCGGTTGCAAGGTATGTAGGGTGGAGTCGTGAATCTGTGGATGATATCAGAAGATAAACAGAAGAGAGAGGGAGCTACCATAAGCTGGCACCTGTGCAAAAGCATCCCACACTGGGAACCAGGCACAAACTCGCAGAGCGGTAGCGTCTGGGAAAGGGCTTTAGAGCGGCCCCCAAACAGGATCCAGGAACTGCGGGTGCATGCACACGAACCCAGGACTGCTCACAGTTTTATAAGCACAAAAGGCAGAGACACGCCCGAGCCCTGGGGTCGACCTCTGGGAGAGTTGCTGTGGACGCACACAACTGTAGGAGGCTGCGGTTCTTAGCAGTGCATACAGAAACGGAGACTACATATCCTGTAGGACTCAATGAAGAGCAGACTGCGATCTCTGTGTTCTTGGACAGAGGTTTGGGTGTGACTATTTTTGCTCTAACTCTTGGAAGAGACATGGAAAACCACCAGAGAACAAAAGCTCAAAAAACTGGTTTCCACAGAGCCCACCCCCTGGACAGGGGCAGGGCATCTCTGCCCAAGCAGGGTTGTCTGAGTAACAGGGCGGCAGGTCCCTCCCCCAGAAGAGAGGCTGGGAGAACAAGAGGATGACAACCCAAGGGTCCCCATAAAACGGGTGCATTTTGCTTGGGTCATGGTTAGTACTTTGGACTCTGTACATTCCCTTAACCACCCCTCAAGAGAATGACTAAGAGAAGGAGCCCACAACAAAGAAAAGGATCAGAGACTATGGTCTCTTCCATAGACCTAGTGGATATGGATATAAGCAAGATGTCAGAGATAGACTTCAGAGTAGTAATTATGAAGTCGATATCTAGGGTTGAGAAAAATATTAGCAACAATATAGAATCTCTAAGGGCCAAAATGAGATCGAATCAGGCCAAACTTAAAAATGCTATGAATGAGAAGCAGTCTAAACTGAATACCCTGACAGCCAAGGTAAATGAGGCAGAAGAATGAATTAGTGAGCTAGAAGATAAGATAATAGAAAGGAAGTAAGCCAAGGAGGCCTGGGATAAACAACTAGAAGCCCATGAGAACAGACTTAGAAAGATCAATGATGCCATGAAACGTTCCAATGTCAGAATTATTGGGATCCCTGAGGGGGGAGAGAGAGAGAGAGGACTAGAAGGTATATTTGAGCAAATCGTAGGTGAGAACTTCCATAATCTGGGGAAGGAAACAAGCATTCATGTCCAAGAGGCAGAGAGGACCCCTCCTGAGTTCAATAAGAACAGACCAATGCCCCGGCATATAATAGTAAAACTTGCAAATCTTAGAGCCAAGGAAGCTATCCTGAGAGCAGCCAGGGGGAAGAGATTTCTTATATATGGAGGGAGGAACATCAGAATAATATCAGACCTCGCCACAGAGACCTGGAAAGCCAGAAAGGGCTGGCAAGACATATTCAGGGTACTAAATGAGAACATGCAGCCAAGGATACTTCATGCAGCAAGGCTATCACTCAGAATGGTTGGGGAGACAAGAAGCTTCCAGGACCAGCAGAAACTAAAAGAATATATGACCACCAAGTCAGCCTTGCAAGAAATATTAAGGGGGATTCTATAAATGAAGAAAGACACCAAGAATAATATAAACCAGAAATTTAGAGACATTCTATGGAAACAGGGACTTCACAGGCAAAATGATGGCACAAAATCATCTTTCAATAGGCACTCTCAATGTGAATGGCCTAAATGCTCCATGAAATGGCACAGGGTTGTAGATTGGATAAAATGCATGACCCATCCATATGCTGTCTACAAGAGACTCATTTTGAACCTAAAGATACCACCAGATGGAAAGTGAGGGGATGGAGAACCACTTATCATGCCAACGGACCTCAGAAAGCTGGGGTAGCAATTTTCTTATCAGACAAATTAGATTTAAATCTAAAGACTGTAGTAAGAGATGTAAAGGGACACTATATCATACTTAAAGGGTCTATCCAACAAGAAGATCGAACAACTGTAAATACCTATGCCCCAACATGGGAGCAGCCAACTACATAAGCCAACTGTTAACCAAAATAAAGAATCATATTGATAATAATACTTTAATAGTAGGAGACCTCAACACTCCACTCTCAGCAATGGACAGATCATTTAAGCAGAAGATCAACAAAGAAACAAGAGCTCTGAATGATACATTGGACCAGATGGAATTCATAGATATAAACAGAACATTCCACCCTAAAACAACAGAATACTCATTCATCATGAATGCGCACAGAACTTCCTCCAGACCCACATA